AAGAAGTGATTTAAAGATGAAAATGTACCAGTGGGAGAGTCTGTGTGAAGTTAATGGTGACCAGTTAACCAGTGAATACTGGGTGCAGTGGTGGGTACGGTAGTTACAGCCAGTTATGAATCTTAGTGCACCATGATAGACAGCATCCAACATCTGCAGCATCCAACATCTGCTAACAAACCCAGTTTAACTTTCAGTTTCTTTATCAAGTTTTCCACATGGAGCTTAAAAGAGAGATGTGAGTCGACCAAGATACACAAATATTTATAGGAATCAACAAACTCAATGGGACACCATTCAAAGATAAAACCGAGGGAAGAACTGCTGGGACCGACTTCTTGTTTAAAAAAAAAAACCCATCCCTTTGGTTTTGTCGGCATTTAGGACAAGTTTGAGGTGGAACAAATCAGTCTGGATGATGTTGACAGCTGGAAAGCCTTAGCAACAGTTTTAGCTCGACAATAAACAACTGTGTCGTCAGCATAGAAATGTATGGATGCATTAGGGATGTTTATACCTACATTATGTATGTAGATTGTAAAGAGGGTGGGTCCTAAGACTGAGCCTTGTGGTACACCATTGTTGAATGTTAAATAACTGGAGGAAGTACCATTATGTTGAACACATTGCCTCCGGTCTGAAAGATAGTTAGAGAACCAACCAATGGTGTGTTCTGAGAAACCAGTTTCTGAGAGTTTATGACACAAGATGTTCTGATCCACAGAGTCAGAATCTTTAGACAGGTCTAAGAAAAGTGCAGCACAATAATCCTTAGCATCCAGTGCTTCAACAACATCATTAAGAACCTTCAGTGAAGCAGTGGTTGTGTTGTGTTGTTTCCTGAAACCAGATTGATGTGGAGGTAAGATGTTAAATGAGTCCAGGTCATTTTTGATTTGAGAGTTTATCAGTTTTTCTAGAACCTTGGCTAAAATGCAGAGTTTAGAGATTGGTCCATAGTTGTTCAGTGAGGGGGGGTCTCCTCCCTTCAGCAAAGAAGAACAAAGGCTGTTTCCAAGTGTCTGGATGGAGTTTTGTCTCATGGAGAGATTGAAGATGTGGGTCACAGGGACTGTGATGATATGAGCAGCCAGCCTTAAGAAAGAAGGTGGAAGATATTTTAGAGTAGATCTTTTAACAGTTGATTGATCTCACTGACTGAGAACGGTTCAAATGAAAAGTTGTGATTTTCTCAAGATTAACTTGTAGTTGAGGTATGATGTGTAGATGTTTGACTTAAAGGAGAAGTGTCTGGATTCAGATGACAAACAGATAAAAAACAACTTTTCTCTTTCAATGAAAGAATCCTGTTTTTCTGTTTGTTTGCAGCTTTTACAATAAATAACATTAAAGTTTTGTATAAAGCAGAAGGTGATGATAAATGTGTTCATGTGTGATATATCCTGATTCATGCTCAGTACGCCAGGTAGAAAAATCTAACAAAGCGAAGTCCTCTGGATGGATGAAAATAAAACAAGTAAAATAATGAAGTTAAAAAAAAGATAAAAAATGTTTAACTTTATTTTTATTATTTATTTTTTAATCTGTCTAGAGGACCTGAGTTAACATTGTTGGATATAATATTGACTATTTTTAACTTCTATTAGTAATTTTCTGTTCTTGCTGCTGTGGATGTAGATGACGCTGCCCTGCAGACGTTGTGTTTTATATTTGAGTTTAATTTTCGAGGCGTCTTCGTTCCTGCAGACGTTGTGTTTTTATCAGAGCTGTGAGGAACGCTCTGAGCTCGCGCTGCCTGAAGGGCCACATTCTTCACATATTTTAGTGTAAAGCTCCAGAACCCAAGAGCCCAGAACGTCATGGTTCCGTCGTGCGACAGTTTTGGCACCAGATGGACCGGTAGTTTTAAACCTGAGACCTTTTTTTAACTTTCTTATTTAGTTTTAACAGATAAATTTGTTCTGCGGGCGCTGTTGTTGTTTGATTTATTCTTTCTTTAGACACGTTTATTTTACGGTTTTGCTCTTTCGGGCCTTTCTTTAGGTCTGTTCTGTTTTTGTGCCTCAGGTTTGGTTCTTGTTTGTGCTCCTATTTTATTATTTATTAGATTTTATTTCAACATCAGCAACTCTTCGGTGGTGGTGGGGAACCGCAGGGCTCCATTCTCGGTCCTCTTCTCTTTTCTTTATACCTGCTGCCACTAGGTGCTATTTTCCATAAATATGACGTCCCTTTTCATTTTTATGCTGATGACTGTCACATTTACTTTTCCTTCTGAAGCACACTGGTGCACGTTCTATCCAACCTCTTCTTGACTGCCTGGTTGACATCAGGGATTGGATGGCTTTATAAATTAAGTGGTTTG